AAACAACTCTGATTCAGACGTCGTGCCAGAGTCGAACCAAATTCAGGATATACTGGTGCCTCGTAACAATTCTCCTCCTAACTCCCCGTGGGAACGCAATCTCTCCAAAATACATTCATATAATTTATGAATTTTGTTAAGCGCGGCAGAAGCATGACGTTTGAATCACTGCCGTGCCGGAGTCGCGTAGCACGGCAGAGCTTGTCGAACTTAATTGCTAGCCGAACTTAATTCGAAAGTTTGATTCAGACGCCGTGCTTCTGCCGTGCTTTTGTGGAACTTAATTCCTGAATTTAGTTCGGCACGGCAAAAGCACGACGTCTGAACTGGGCCTTACATTTTCTAAAAGCTAAAGCTATAAATAATTGCCTTAAGTAACACCAGAAACAATTTCCGATAGGAGCTCGAGAAAATGAATTTCAAAGTTCAGAGAAATTGTGCAAACAGATAAAATTTCATCATCAGTGTCATTTCATTTCATATGAACTTCAAAATTTGTTTTCGACATTTGGTGTTGTTAGAAATGATTTCTTTTGAGAAGATATTAAGACAGTCGCACAGAAGTTTGCACTATGATGCAGATAAGTTAATCTTGTTACAAAGTTTTTGTCCGGTTATTACTCAAACTTGGTGGATTCGTTCTTAATTATTAAAGCTTACCTTTCCGTGTCTCTGCCCGTGGGCATATTTCCCTTCATAAATGTCGCCATTCGGAAGGACAGCTCTCCCCGTGCCATGTCTCTCTCCAAGTTCATTTCTTTCACCTTCATATTCCTTTAGAATTGAAGAAGGCCTTATCATTCCAAATTGAGAACTGGGGAAATCGGTTTACACACGTCTAAAATTTTTGCCGTCAATGTTCAAGCCGTAAGTATCTTCACTGGAGGGTTTGTAAGTACAAAAAAAGCTAAGAAGACTCACCCCTAAATCACTCGTCCAGTCTAAATCCTCAGAACCAACACCAAATATCTCCGACATGTTCAAAAACTACTGAAAAAGGTGTTTTTACTGTTTCGTGAGGTAATGAGTATTTCAATTTTTTTCAAATATGGCGGACAGATTTTTCGATAACCCGGATGCAGGACTCGTCACCACGCCGCTTTCCTTATCCCTTTACTTTCTTCCGATGAACAAGGCCCCAAGTGAAACAAACTTCATTATATTAATGACATATTTATTTAATCTGAACGTGCGAATTGAAAAGAGACAATGGTATAAGCCGGTGATCAGCCAATAAAAATATAGTTGACGTTAATGCTTCTGGTATTTTACGGAGGCTGGCAATTCTACGACTTCTACTGAGACTAGACGCTGCGTTGATCTGCATCAAGTACCTATCAAATGTAGCGAGGAAATTTTTTCAGAGCAATTAACAGTGTACTGGGCCAGATCCTTATAGTAAGTTCCAAACGTTTGTGAGTTAAAGAAAAAATGGGAAAATTTGACTTATAAACATATTTAACAAGGAATAAGAGCGCGAATATTTCTGAAAAATTAATTCATCTCTCCCTAGCTATAGGCCAAGCAGGATGTTTTTGCGCAAGGTCAGGAACAATAACAACAAAAAATAGACAAACAACGATGTCGCCTCTTGATAAAACCTTAGTTATTAATATCTTCTATACGGGATGTTTATTTTACATCATACAAAACGTTGACTTTTGTACATTTTTACAAATGTCAGTTTTCGTTTATAAATTTACGGCTTTGGCTTACATTGACATGCAATATTTACATAAGCTACTTTCCGCTGGTTGATTATAATTACATTTGTTTATAGGGTTACGCAATGCTGGTTGCTGATTATATAGCTATTGAACTTCCACTATTTTCGATTTTCCATTGAATTTTTAGTTTTTGTTTGAATTGATTAACAAGTGGGAATTTTGCCATCATTTTACAGTCGTAGATATACTTCTTCATTAGTATTATGAAAATTTCCACCTCAGTAGACGTTGTAATCCTACGGGTAGTTATATTAAATTGGGATTTTTGTTCGTTGTTGAACCATATCTTCATTTCGTGGTAAAAGTCCTCGGCGACAGTGTACGGCAAGCCAGGAATGTGTGTTCGAGGGAATCGGCTGGACCTTTGCAAGAAAAAAAAACCTTCATCATCGGGTATAATTTTGTATCTTTTAAGTTCCTTTTTGGTTACTAATATCCTATGAAGTAGCTGAAAAGACAATTGTCTTAATTTATTGTCTGCCGCCATCTTTGAGCTGTTCTTAAATAAGTTATTTTATTTCTTGGCGAAGGGAGTATAATGTTTGGCCATGATTGAACTGATGTTGGTTCTTTTTCCCATTTCGCTTGGAAGAGAGTAATAACCCTTGTACCGTATTGTGGTCAAACGGATAGTTTTTCATTCGGCAAGCAGGTATACATCAGTTTCTTCTCTGATTGCTTCTAGAGGTTTTGTAATAGTCATAGCTTTTAATTTAAGACTTTTGGGAATTACACAGAGAATTTGGCAATAATAAATGGAACTGACTTCAATGTTGTATTTGGTCTTGAATTCTTCATAAGATAGATATTTGCCAGTATTCTTAAGAAGTTCTTGTACAAAATATACCCTTCGCTCGCTCCAGGTTTTCTAATACAAAGATTTTCCTTCCATGGTGATATCTTTGTTGTTCCATATAATGAAGTCGCCTTTGAAGCAGTCATCCCTATATTGTTCTCGGAATTCACTTAAGTAATCAAAAAGTTCTGAGTAAAAGGGGGAAATATTGACGGTTGGCTAATTTTTTTGTGTAATAGTTGTATTTCAAGAGAAACGGTAATCCTCCGTATCTATTGAAGTAAGCATTTGGAATTTCTTTCCAATCATCACTGGATTCACATAGTAACCTGCCTATCCAACTTAATCGAAGTGCCTTAACAGTTTCTCTGACATTTGGAAATTTTAGACCTCCTCCACACGGTCTTTGACATAGTACGTTTCTTTTTATTCTGTCCTTTTTGTTTCGCCAAAGAAAGCTGAAGAGCTTTTCCTGCACTCGTTTAATAACTTCCTCTGGAACACATAGCATTGAGGCTAAGTACACTATTTTAGAAATCCGTAATGCTTTTACCAATAAAGTTCGTCCCGTAAGGGTGAGGTCCCGAGATAGCCAAACATTTAGTTTGTTTCCATTTTTTGAATTTTGATAAAGACGTTTTGGTCGTTATTCCTATTATGATTATACGAAATATAGATTCCCAGTGTCTTGGTATAGGTTCATAAGTTATGAGTATTGCTAAGGGTTTAGCTTTGTTCTTTCTCTACGATCCAGTGCAGATAGCCTTGGTCTTCTTTTTGTTCCATTTGAGACCTGAGATTTGACCAAATTTGTTTATAAGCATTATTTTTTATAGTGATTCAATATCCTTACAGATAAGGGTCGTATCTTCAGCAAATTGGTTTAAATTGACTTCTGCATTATTTGTGAGCTTTATCCCCTTACTCTAGCTACTGTGACATATCGTTTGCGCCAGTAGTTCTGCGGATAGTATAAAGAGAATAGGGCTTAAGGAAAATTCTTGCCTGGGACTCCTCGATCAGGATACCTTAAAGTAATTTGTGACGTAACCGCCATTTAGTATTCCGCTTTCTACATCCGAGTTCGTCACAGAGACCCAGTTCCTAAGGTGTGGACCGAAATTTAGATATTTTAACTTATTATGAAGGAATTGCCATTCTAACGTATCAAATGCTTTCTCGGAATCTATAAGTACCATAATTCCTGGAATTTTGTTTGGTTCAGTATATTCTATAACGTCATTGAGCAGTCTCACGTTTTGACCGATAAACCTTCCTTTTACGAGTCCGGTTTGATCTGAGTGTATTAATTTGAGTAATTTGAGTTCAATTTGTTTCGCAATTGCTCCTGCCAGTATTTTATAGTCAACATTTGGAAGTGTAGTTGGATGCCAGTTTGTTAATTCGACTAGGTAGCTTTCGCCTTTTGGTATTAGTGAGATAATAACTCGTCTCTGAGAGATTGACATTTTTCCTTTGTCAAAGGCTTCATTATCGGAGTCCAGGAGATGGTCACCTATACAATCGAAGAACTCTTCAGTGAAACAATCTTCTCCTTGAGTTTAATTTTCTTTAGCAGTTCTTCTTTTGTGAGATCATTTTCTAGTTTTTGCTGTTCATACTCAGTTAATTTTGGGTCAGTTTCCAAGTCCTCAATAAAAGAACTGAGCGATTCATTTGAGCTTTGGTGAACCTCTGGTGGAACTTTAGAAGTTCGAAATGATTTGTAGTACTCCTAAATTTCTTTATTTATTTGCTTTATACCTGATATTATCTCTCCATCACTTATTTTAAGCTGTGTTATGTAAACCTGAAACGTAGTCGAGGGTTTGGATAAGTTTGCATAACTTTAGAGAAGTCTCCCAACCTTCGAGTGCTTAGATGAGGCTTTGTAAACAAGGAAAAATTGCTCTTTTGCTTTTATAAAATAATTCTCAAAAATACGCGCAAACCTAAAACGTCTCAACCCTGTTTACATACTCTTATCTAAACACACCTACTGGCCAATAAGAGCGCGCGTAGTATCTCAGTTATTTTATAAAAGGCCGTGAGAGGCTTAAAAGTTCATTCCTGTAATTATTCTCTTTCCAAGGCAAGCCTCCGCTTTTATCCAGTTTGCTTAATCCCGCGTTCTAATCACCCGAATTATAACTTTGGATAAATTAGTTTTTTGACACCAAGAGTTGACTGAGTGTTCTTGTAAATACTGGTTGTTGACGATAATCAGTTGGTGCCAGGATGGTGCATAAATATTTACTATTTAATATTGAGTCAGTATGACACCACACTTACTAAGTTAGCACAATTACTACAGACCTAGTAGAAACCAACCACCCCTGTCGGACCACAGACCATAAGTCTTGTTGTTCATGATGAATTCCATCTTGGTTTGCCTCTCCGTTTTCAATCTTGGTTCGCTGCTGGCTGTCAAAATTCCAAAGAATGTGGACGAAGGAGGGATGCCCGACGTGAACGAA